TCTCTCTCTCTCTCTCTCTCTCTCTCTCTCTCTCTCTCTCTCTTTTGGGGTGGGGGGGCGAGTTAAACTAATGGATCCTGGTCAGTTCCTCCACGATCTTAATCACCTCGTCCACCGTGGCCTCTCGCTTCATACCGCTGCCGTCATCAATCTGAAACACACACAAGAGGACAGAGAGTGAGAGAAGAAGAAGAAGAAGAAGAATAACAAAAACAAGAAGAACAAGAACAAGAGAAGAACAAGAGGAAAAAGAACAAGATCAAATAGAAGAACAAGAAGAACAAGACCAAGAACAAGAATTAGACAAGAAGAACAAGAACAAGAAGAAGAACAAGAACAAGAACAAGAACAAGAACAAGAAGAATAACAAGACCAAGAAGAATAACAAGAACAAGAAGAACACCGTGGTTTTAAAAAAACACCTCAGCACACTAAAGCAGTTTTTCAACCTTTTTTTAGCCTTTTTCTTCATTGAAAAAATCACGAGGCACACCAACCAAAAATGTTAAACAAATCTGTATCTGCATATAGTAACACTATAGTTATTCTTATTTTATCTTAAGTGTCTTGAATAGGAATCAAACACAAAAATGTATTTTTATCATACCGTATCTTATATTTCTTCTTTCAAATTGCTCTTAACATGTCCACTTCCATATACAAAATTATATACAAAATCTAGTCATAAGGAATTATTACATGATTCAGACACAATACTATCTTTTTTTTTCACTTTGCACTTGTCCTCACAAACAGTTCACAGAGTGTTTTTGGCTCCAGGAAATATTTCCATTTTCTCTGCTCATACGATGGAATTCTGCTCATTCCAAACTATTTAACCCTTTAAAGCCTGATCCAAGAAAAATAGGAAGAATATTGGATTTTTTTAGTCTGAAGTCTTTCTTTGGCCCCTCAACAACATATGAAGAAAAAAAACTGAAATTATTTTGATCAAATTAGCGTGCAATAAGTCAAAAATGTATGTTGGTGTAGTCTTCTACTGGCTGTTATCAGGTATATCTGAATGTGTACAACAGGGGTTTGAGCAAAGCTTTTACCACTGAATGATGCAGAAAGTCTCACATCCAAAAGAAACCGGATCAGATATGACACGTTTGGCTTTATAGGGTTAAAGTGGAGCTTTAGACTAGGCGTGAGGAGGGGGACAGGGTTTTTTATTCTTAAATGAGCAGAAAGTAAGTATTTTTGGTAAAGAGTGGAAAAAAAAGGTTGGCCAAAAGTGATTTGCCCTGTGTGATGATGGAAGAAGAGCTCCAGTTGGCTTTATTTAATTTACTTATTTAATTTATTTGACTTTTCCAGAAGCTTCTGGACCCCTGCTTTAATGACAGGCTGACGCAAAACACCATAAATAAACAAGCTTTCATCATTTCATCAGTAACAGATCACAAAAAAAAGGCGACGAAGCTGTAAACAAGAGTCCTGGTGATTAAAGT